AAAATTTTTTACATCAATTTAAAATGTTAAAATCATTTAAAATTGTGTTCTTTGAATGATTAAAACGGTGTTAATTTATTTAATTAATTTCGGTGATAAATTTCAACTTCAGTGAAATAATTTTTTTAAATTTCACCGAGCATTTGGCCGGAAATTTCACATTTCGGAAATTTCATTTCATTTTAAATTTTAATTTAGAAATTTTATTAAAAAACTATAAATTTTGGCTTTTACAGGATTACCACTTGATTTTTCGTACACATTTTGCTGAAAACACTCTCTATATTTCGCTTGATTTTGTCATTTCTCCGCTCTCAACTTATCGATAACTTTTCATACTTTTAAGTCATAACTCTCGTAAATACAAGGGGAAAAAAAATCGTGGATAATTCTGTGCTTTTAAATTTTCCTTTTCAATATATTTCCTCTTGGAGCGATATTCATCAATTTAAAATTTCAAATTTTTATTCTTCCTATGGTACTTCATTGTTTTGCCGAGAGGAGTTTTTAAATTTTTTTATTTTTTTGTCATTTTCATTATTTTTATTTGAAGTAACGGTTTCATCGACATTAATTATTATCAGTTTATTTGCAATACAATAGATTACAATAGATTTTTACAATAGATTTTAATTGCAGTAAAGTTTATTAAGTATGTAACGTATAGTACATTTATTTTGGATTTGATGTGTTCTTATAGGCCCTTGACAAAAGTATATAAGTAGCACGAATAAGTATACAAAAGTATATGAAAAATTAATACCCTTGTTATGGGCTGTAACATTCCCCTAAAAGTGCATTAAAAGTGAAAAAATCTTACTTTACAAATAAATACTATGTTAATAAATACTATGTTAATGGTGCAGTAAAGCATCTAGTATTAAATTATCGAAACATTACTAAGGAAATTTTGTTAAAAAAATTTCGCTCAAATTGAGCGACAAAATAGCGAAGAAGCGAATATAAATCGACATAATAGCGAGAAAAAACATATGGCAATTTTAAAAAGTTTAATATTCTTCTTTCAATTCTTTTGAACTGAAATTTCAAAATAATAGGAAAAAAGATTATAAAAGTGATGAAAAGAAAAACATGGCACTTGTTTTTAATATTCTTCTTTACTGTTATTATTGTTTATTTTTCTTCATAAATTATTTATTATTTTATTTTAATTATTTAAACAAGAAGATGTAAAATAAACTAATTGTATTTTCACAAAATTCACCAAAAGAATTCAATAAAACTATTAAGCAATAAATTTTCTTGTAAGTAAAATCCAATATGAAAAACACAAATAAACTTATAATAATTAGTGTCGATTGTTAATTCAAATAAAAATAATGAAAATGCTGACAAAAAAATAAAAAACTTAAAAAAATCCCTCCTTGCAAAACAATGAAGTACCATAGGAAGAATAGAAATTTGAATTATAAACAAATTTTAAATTGAAGAATATCGCTTCAAGAGCAAATATATTGAAGAGGAAAATTTAAAAGCACAAAATTATCCGCGATTTTTTTCCCTTCTGTTTACGAGAGTTCTGACTCAGAAGTATAAAAAGTTATCGATAAGTTGAGAGAGAAGAAATGGCAAAATCAAGGGAAATACAGAGATTGTTTTCACTAAAATGTGTCAAGTGGTAGTTTTGTAAAAGCCAAAATTTATAGTTTTTTAATAAAATTTCTAAATTAAAATTTAAAAATATTTAAAAAATATCAAAATTATTTTAATAATTTATTAATAATACTAATTAATATAATTTGTGATTTATCAATAATTACAATTATTTAAGATTATTTATTATTTATTATTTATCAATAATTACAATTGTTTAAGGTTATTTATTATTTAAGATAAAAGTTTACAGATGCCTTTCATTTTATATTCATTCAAAATTTTTTTTTCTTTTTGAATTTTTACAGCAATGATAATAAATTAGTGTTTAGTTTAAAGATAGCTTTTTTTCTATAATTGTTTGTTTTTACAGTTTGAATGATATAATATTCCCAGTTATAATCAATTTCTAAATGTATGTATAATAAATATACAAAAATTACAAATATATAATAAATATATAATATATAAATATAAAAAAATATATATTATATATACAAATATAAATATAAATATAGACTTTTCTTTAATTTAAATAAATCATTTAATTACTGCTAATTTTGTTTGTTTCTTATTACTTCTAATACTTTCGTACTCGATCATGTTGAAAAAAAGAAAAAAATTGTGTTGAATGAAAAGTAACGGAGCTTTCCTAGCGCAGTAATTTCTACATGAAGTTTAGTGCTAATAAATATGTGATATATTCCCAGTTATAATCAATTTCTATGTATATAATAAATATATAAAAAATACTATATAAATATATAAAAAAAATATATAATAAATATATAATATAAATATATTATACAAATAATAATATATAAAATAAAATAAAATATATAAATATATATAAATATATAATATATATATATAAATATATATATATATATAATATAAATATATAATATAAATATATAATATAAATATAATATACAAATAATAATATATAATAAAATATATAAATATATATAATAAATATATAATATAAATATATTATACAAATAATAATATATAATAAAATATATAAATATATATAAATATATAATATATATATAAAAATATATAATATATATATATATATATATATATAATATAAATATAATATACAAATAATAATATATAATAAAATATATAAATATATATAAATATATTTATATATATAATATAAATATATATAATATATAATAAATAAAAATATAGACTTTTCTAAATATAGATTTATAACTGTGGCCACGATTGGCTTAGGCGATCTTATGCCAAACAGCATTCAACATAATCCATTTTTATGGTATCAATTTTTAATTGGTATTATTTTTTACAATCTGCAACCAATGTGAGAGCATTTGTAAGAGTAGACGATAAATAATTTACTTTTATAAATTTATAATTATTTAATAATATAATAAAAGTATTAAAAATAAATGATGAGGATTGCTATTGCTAGTATATTCGCCTTGCCTTTCATCTAATTCTTTTTTTGAGAAGGTTTTATTTCATCTTAAATTGCAGAAATTCGTAAATTGCGGTTAGCAATCCATCCTTCTGAAACTTTAATGGCAGAAAAATGATAAATAAAAATAAAAATAAATAATATTTCTTTATTTCCAAATCAATTCGGGACCAATTATAGTTAAATTAATCATTTCGATCATCACATCGATCGTTTGTATAGGGCGAAACGACAATTATTCCCCACAGGAGTAAGTACAAAAATCCAGGTGATGCTGGCAACTCACCTGTATTTCTTTTGTAAAGGGACTACGGACTACCTGCATAGCACTCAAGCCACAAGCCAGTAGAGCGAGTTTAAGCAGCAATGATGAGGACTATCAAAAAAATTAACCGTTATTCCCCCACATCTCCCACAATTCCTCGCATAAATATAATTAATATAATATTGAGAAATCATTTATATTTTACAATTTATATATCAATGCTTTCGCCTTAAAGCAACTTCTTCGTGCAAGCAGATGATGCCATTTGTATTAAATATTATAATTCATCTGATGGAATTTAAAATCGCTAAAATTAGCCGAGATTTATACCTTGAGGACAGAGATATTAACTATTTATTTGAAGATAATTGCAAAAAAAATTTTGTAAATAATAAATAAAAAATAAATTACAAGATATTAGCGCTTCCTTAACGTTTTTTAAAATTCTATAATATTCTATATTCTATAATTGATTTATTCCTAAAGTTGCCGTTCCCCTTCCTCCTCGCCCATCTGTTTCCTTCGCATAATGTTTAAATTAATGATTAATATTAATGAGGAAAATGTTGTATTGTTTGTATAGATTTCTTACTGGATTCATTTGATAGTTTACATTAAAATAAATGCAAATTTCTTTCAACAAATATTCTACCAATTTTATTTAGTTTTTATTTTTTTCTTGGCGAAGCCCTTTTTATAATAAAATATTTGATAAATTTTTATTTATATGATTAAGTAAATTTTTCAATAAATTTACTTTCCTTAAGGCTTTCAAGAAAAGGCTTCCTTAAGAAAAGAACAAATTTTGCGAGGAGACTTCCGCTGATTTTTAGTTCGTTTTATAGATTCATTTGTAATAGAACTGATTTCAGTGGAATGATAAATTAACCTTTGAATAATTACTTACGTGGATAATGGCTGAGATAGAAATTTTTTCAACTTTATATGTGTCTGCGATCTGTCCTTAGTATTGCACAAAAGCTCCTCGTCTGACCGCAGACCGCAAGCGATCTGATGCCATCGTCGACAGTAATAGAAATATTCTTTTTTCCATCGTCGAAATCCATAAATTGCTGCTCAATATAATCTTTTGTCACCATATGAGTCCAAGCGTTGATTGGCCCATATAAAGTTTATTATTAAATAATTATAAATTTATAAAAGTAAATTATTTATCGTTTACTCTTACAAATGCTCTCACATTGATTGTCTTGATGGATTTTACTTAGTGAGATTTCTCATCATGTTAGGACTCCTTTAGTTGTGTTGTTGCGCGTGAATTTTTTGATTGGTGAGGTGTTTTATTGGTTTTAGGTTTTGGTTCTTTCATGTTTAATTTTAGTTATTTTTTGTTTTTCGTTTATGAGATGATGGTGTTGGTGTTGGAGAGTTTTATTTTTGTAATTTTGTTGTATGAGGTGGTGGGTTTGTTGTACCCCTAATATTTTAGAGGTGTTTCTTGTTGATTTTATTATAATTGATTTGTATTTGCATGGATTATTTTCATTTATTAGGTTCTTTTGTTTTTGTTTAATTATAAATAGTGTTTTGTTTGCAACATTATAAATAATGTTTGGTTTGAGAGAATAAATCATCAGGATATTCGTTCTTTATATTTGAATTTTGGTTTTCGGTCTGGTGTGGCTGATGTTGGTTTTTCTTTTTTTATTCATGCTGTGTAAGCCTGGTTTTGGTTTCTTGGTTGTCCTGACGTTTAATTTTACCTGTTTTAATTTTACCTGCTTTTGGTATTGTTGGTTAGAGTGATTTGTATTTGACTGGTAAGGAGGTTAAGGAGGTTTTTGGTTCTTTAGATATGATTTATGCCATTTTAAGAATTGCTTAAGCAATTGCTTTAATTGGTAGTTTGAGCTCATCACATATATACTGTTGGTATGGTTTTGGATTCTCGTGCTTTTCTGCTGCTGCTGTGGTTATTACTGTTCCTACTGGTACTAAGGTTTTTAGTTGTTTATCTATTTTGCATGGTATGCGGATAGTTTTCCAGCCTGTCGGTTTTATTTCTGAATGGCTTTTTACTGGTGCGATCTGATTCTAGTTTAGATGTTGTTTACATTACTGT